CGGGGGCTGCAGCCCGGCTGCGGGCCAGGCGTGGGCTGCCTGCAGAGCAGGGCTGGGGGATCAGCCTCCCACCACCCTCTGCTCCACCCGGGACTGGGTGTGGGGGGTCCCTCCGGGGGATAAAACCCCTTTACTCCCACCTGGGCACCCTGTGCAGCTCGTCCCCGGCTTGCAGCCACCTCCAGCCTGTAAATCATTTGCTTTTACGATCCCTTCTCTGGCCCATTATCACACGAACTTTATATGTTTGGGGCTGCTGGGGGCTATAAAGCTCTCCCGGTTTCCGGGGCTGGCATGTCTGCCTCGCGGGCAGGGGGTGAGGAGGAGGAGGCTGGGGACATGCTGTCCCCATCCCCCCCGGATGGGCAGGTAGGCAGGAAGGGGGGCAGCACTGCCGTGGGGATGATTGGACCATTGTGGGCTGGGATATGGACTGGTTGCAGCCCCGGGATCGGGCCGGAGCAGAGAGGGCTGGGAGTGAGTGGGGGGTGCTGGGCTCCCCCTGAGGAGGGGTGACAGGAGTGGGGTCCCAGCTCTGGTCATTCAGTCCCTCTTCTCCCCATCCTGCTGGATCAGAGGACCCGCAGATCCTCTGGTGCACATCCCCTTGGGTCCAAGAAGGACCATTTCTGGGGGCAGAGGATCCATGTCCCACCCCACCCACCCCCCAGCTTGGGAGTTGTAGATCCAGGATCGTTTGGGCCCTGGTTCAGTGCTGGGGTCCTTCCCAGACCTGTCTTGCCTGGGATACTCAGTCCCAGCCCTGGACCCAGATGCTGTGTGTCTGGGCTGGCAGCTCACTGCGTGGCCCCACTGCCAGCTCCCCTGGCTCTGCCTCCTCACAGTGTCCCCTGCTCATCTCCTCCTGCCTGAGGTCAGCTCAGGGCTCTCCTTGTGCCTCCCAAACCCTCTCACGGAGGGTTGGTTGTAGCAGCGCTGGGTCTGCCCTTTGGCTGCTCCTCATTCCCTCTGCCTCAGTCACCCGTGGGTCACATCGTCTTCCAAGCCCCCAGGGGAACCTCACAGGGATCTTGCTGGCTGAGTCCTGATGCCCAAGCACTGCCCAATCCCAGCACACACGTCTCAGGGGATGGACATCAAGGTGTCTGCAGCTCCTCCCCGGGTGTAACCCAGCATCATTCGCTGACCAGTCCCACCCCGGGATGGGCTTGGGTTGATGAGGGGCATGTGGAGCTGCTGAGGCTGCTCTTAGCTGCCCTTGGTGTGGTCCCAGCTGCAGACTGAGATGGGTCATATCTCTTTTGGGGTCTGGGGCTTCAGGTCACCAGCCTGTGCTTTAGTAACACCTTCCCAGGTGAGGAGCCCAGGGGCAGCAGGTAACAGCTCACAGGAGGGTGATTTGCCTTCGTGGCCCATTCTGATCCAGGCAGCGTGCTCAGGAAACCTTCCCTGGGTCAGCTGTGCCCTCCTGGTTCACCTTCAGCTTTCTATCAAACAACCCAGTGCCCAAATCGATGGTGGGTGTCCTGGGAGGACGGCTGTCTGCATCTCCCAGGACAGGGTGAGCATCTGGCTGGAGATGGCCTGCAGGGGGAGGCCGGGGGGCTCCGTGTGCAGGAAAAACCCAAATCTAAGCAGATCAATTGCCTTTCCTTTCCGGGGAGGGGGATGGGAGAGACCAGATCTTGCCTGAACAGTCAAAGTAAGTTGCCTTTGCTTTTCCCTGCTCTCCAAGGTCAGCCTAGCTAATGAAAATCAATCTTCCCTCTCTCTGCTGCATGAGCAGATTCTACCTGTGGCCCCTCACCTACTTGAAAGGCTCGGCCGCCTGCCCTGTGGGACCTTCCTATTGACACAGAGTCTTCCTGCGGGCCTGGGCATGGTGACAATGTCTGTGTCACTGAGGGACCACTCGTTGGATCTGCCAGAGGAGGAGGGCTCTGTCCTGGAGCAGCTGGTTGTGCGCGGGAAGCACGTACCCGATATTGCCATCAGGGCTGGGAAGTGCTGGGGAAGCTGGTGGCTGGGGTGTGACATGCAATGAATGGCTCCCGTCCTCTGCGCGCTCCCGGGAGGCTCCGTTCCGCAGGCACAACTGGGGAATTTCTCCATCCCTCCCAAAGGATCAAGCCCTGGCCCTGTTGCAGACCCACTCCTGTCCCCTCTCCTTGCCCAGCTCCAGACTGGGATGTTTCATAGAATCACAGACTGGTTTGGGTTGGGAGGGACCTTAGAGACCACCCAGTCCCACCCCTGCATGGGCAGGGACACCTCCCACCAGCCCAGGCTGCTCCAAGCCCCATCCAAGCTGGAAGCATTTCTGGCAGCACTTCCCCCAGCTGCCAGTGGCAAAGTCTGGCAGCCCAGGGTTTGGTGCTCGTGCCATGAGGTCAAACCTGCTGGGATGGGGGGGTTTGAGACACAGGGGTCCCCTCCCACCCCATCCCACAGCCCATGGACAGTCCTGCCCTTCCCTCTGGATAAAGCCAGTGCTGCTGTCAAGTGCTGCTGACTTGGGAAGTGCTGCTTCCTGGAAACAGCAGCAAACAGCCTGTGTCCAGCAGTGCTGGCGAGGGGTGGGAGATCCTCTGGAAGGACTGGGAAAGCTGAAAAGCCCGGGGAGATGCTGTGTCCACCTGTTTTGAGGGACAGATCTTTGCTTTTTGGATGTGTCCAGCCTAAATCTCCACAGACACATTGAGTCTGGGTGTTGGAAACAACTTCCTTAGGAGTTCTCTAGCCAGCCTTTGCTTTCTGGTTTGTACGGATGGATCCACACTAGAAGGTGACATGGATGTTTTCTCTGTCTCCCTGCCCCATCCTCTAGGATTCTTAGATGTGCCCTGATGCTGCAGGGTCTCCTTGCTCCTGGAAATGCAGCTCTCTTCCAGCGTGGCTGAACTCAGCTGCGACGAGACGATGGACCCACCCGCCGAGGACTTGCAGCAGGTCCTGTCCATCGACCAGATCCGCTCCATCCGCGCCAGCAACAACTACGTGGAGAGACCGGCCTCCTGCTTCCAGCAA